GGAGGACCAGCAGCGCGAGGAGCAGGACGCCAAGTCAGTCTGGGCAGACACTGCCCCAGATGAAGGACCTGGATCGCTCGCGGAGTTCACCAAGACGTCCAAGGCCAAGATCGCGGAGGCCAAGACCAAGTTTGCAGGCAACGCAGACATCCTCAAATTCATCAATGACATGGCCAGCATGGTGGGCGCCCTGCCTGAGAAGGCAGCACCGCCGCCCCAGCCATCTGCATCGATTACGGATACCCCGATTTTTGATTAAAGTCTTCGGGGACACCATACACCATCGTCTCTTTTCTTGTCAGCATCCAGAGGTAGTTGCCCTCAGGACAGAGCTGCTGCCGCCAGACGTGCTGCAGGCCGCGCTGGAGGCGCCAGAGAATAGCACCCTGTACTGCTTCGGTATCTTCGAGCACCCAGGGGAACAGCATGATGATTTTCCGCTGCCTAGAGAGAATCCCATCGTTCGATTCGTCAGACACGACGGTCAGCCTGACACGGTACCGCACTTTGGGGGGCTCACGGGAACCGACGGGTCGTGCACCAAGACAGTCATAGCGGAGCTAGACAGAGCGACGTTCTCGGTAGTGGCTTACAGTACCGACGGGGCCCCAGAGGCCTCCCTTTATGGCGCTGTCGCTGCGAACCTTCCCCAGACTTCTCAGGCTGGGGAGCACATGGGCTTCCTGGTTCTCCAGGAGGCCCTCACCAAACCCTCGAAGACTTGGGTGGACTGCAAAGCGGTCCTTGATCAGCACGCTAGGCCACTGCCGACACGTCTCAGCAGTAAGCTTAAGTATTCAGGCCTGCACAAGCTTGCGCTTGCGCGGGACAGCAGACATCATCTCGAGACGGCCTCTAAGGTCAAGAGCCATCAGGATATACATTCATTGGCTGGAGAGGCCAGACTTGCTGCGGAGATCAATGCTGCAGCAGACAAGATGGCGAAGGCGGCTGTGGACTGTCACCCAAGTTTCAACCCGACCGCGCTGCATGAGTTGCAACGCAAGATCGAGGCCGCTCGAGCGATTGGTTTATATGCGCCCAGAGTTCTTGCCTTGTGCCAGCGCAACAGGCACAAGAGCGAGAGAGCCGCTCTGCCCTGTAAGGTTCAGGCTACCATCGTCGCGCACGACTGGGAGGTTCTTCAGGGGCCGATACCGTACAGGTGCAGAGCATGTTTTACGCACGCCCGATCGTATAAGGCCGCTGTCGCACGTGAGAGGCAGGCATGCCAGCCACTGGCCAGCGCATTCAGACGCGGCCTAGAAGCTATTCATGCCAGCCATCAGATGGCAATTGCGCATTTTGCCGTGCCTGTTGTCTTTTGCTTAGTCTGTGGGCGTTATGCCCAGTATGCTTTCAGAGGTTTGCCCGCCACCTGTCCTGGACGGCCTCCCAAGAGTGGTGGACGTGCGAATGTGAGAAATCGTCTGTTGGATGGCAAGCATCCCAGATTTCGTCTTTTTGCTTCAGAGTCCGAGCGGTACAATACCGCAGAAATTCAAAGGCAGCAGCGCGCGCAGAGAGAGAAAGCAGCAGCGCGCGCTGCGATGCCGCTCCCGAGCCCGCCAACCCCACACCCTGTGCCTCGCCCACAGCGGTCCGAGGCCGGACGCGTGCGCCAGCTGCATTCCAGCCTGCGCCAAGAGGAGGATGGGGAACCGCTCATCCCTCCTGTGGGTTTCGGCGAGGACGAGTCGGACTAGGCCCCCGTCCAAGCCCCACCGCCATCTCGGCGGTGCTGCGTGCTTGTGAGGGGCCACCCGCCTGGCGGTCTCTGCCCTGGGTCCCCGCCACTCGGCACGCCCAGGCACCGTCAGGCCACCCCACCTGGAGGGTGACTGGCCAGAGCCGCGTGCGTATGGCCCGAGATGCAAAAAAAAAAAATGGGTTCTACAACGGTTCCTAACGATTCTTCAGAGATCTTTCAGGATGCCTTTTGGTGTCTCGCAGATTCGTGGCAAGTCGTGAAACATTCTCCAGGGTCCCACATGATTGTATAAGGTGTCCTTGCGATTCTGCAAAGGTCCCTGAGGAACCCCAGAGTGTCTGCACAGATTTTTTGCGATTCTTCACGGACCCCTCGGGGTGCGTCAGAGATTTCTACCAAAGCCTTTGAGCATCCGATGAGATTGCTTCGAGATGCCGCGCGATTGTGTGTAGATTGCTCGGGCTCTCATAGTCTTAGTGCGATTATTCAGGTATTCTTCTATGGTTCTTCAGAGATTCATCGGGCGTCCTTTTGGCTTCTCTGAGATTCTTTGTGGTTCCTCCTGGTCTTCGGTATTCTTCATGGTTTTTCATGGACTCCTAGCGATTCTTCATGTCTCCTTCAGGATTCTTCAGAAATTCTTGTGACCCCCCCGCGATTCTTCAAATAATATTCCGCTGCCTCGCAGTGAGAAGATTCAGAGATTCGTTTGGAAGTCTCCAGAGATTTCTTTCCAAGATTTTTCACAGTTCTTGAAATATTGATCATCTATTATTTCTGGTGTTCTTCCAGGGTGCATTAATTGTTCCTGCAAGATTTCTTTCCAGGATGGATTGAGGATTCCTCAGGGATTTCTGCCAGGTTCCCAGCGGAATTCCTGAAGGTATCTTGTGGTTTCACGTTACTTGTTGGGGGGTTCGTGAGACAGCCGTTCCGGATGTTTGAACATATTTTTTCAGGATTCTTGTGGATTCCTTCAGCATGCCATGGTTTTTCGGGATCTCGTCCACGATTCCTTTGGCATTACTTGTTAAATTATTGCGGGATTCTTGCGAGGATATGTTCAGGATCCGCCAGAGATCCTTTCAAGATTATTCCGGGATTCTTGAAGGATGTGTTGGAGATGTTTGTAGAATTCGTCGGAGAGCCGCACAGGATTTTTGAGAGATCCGACCAGGATTCCGAGCAGATCTTTCCATGATCATTGCGAGATGTATCTTGAATCCCTGCGACATCTTTGCAGGAACCCCGACACATCCCTACAGGATACCTGGCAAATCCGTACACGACCCTTGGGGGACCCAACCGTATCCTTGAGAGATCCTTGCCAGATCCTTGGGAGATCTGTTCTGAATCATTTGTGAGGTCCTCCCAGGATCGTTGGGCGATGTTTTTCAGAGGCTCCTTTCAGGCCCCTGCTCCTGATAAGCTCTGGAGGGGCGCCCACGGGGCGTCCCAGAGGCGCATGCGAAGCTCGTGAGTGGCGCCTGTACGGTTCGTGAACTGGTGCGCGGTTCTTGGATCGGCTCCTGAAAGAAGCGTGCCCTGTTTTCCAACGCCAGCCGTTGAGTTCCAGTAAGATTCATAACCACAGCTCAGTTTCCGAACAGCACAGCTCATTAATGTCAAAAAGTAATGTAGTACGAATTTCAATTGTGGCATTCCTTTTGTCTTCCAGAATGCATGTGCACCCTTGTCGGCTCAATATGGCTTCTAATAAATTGTGCCAGTTGGTGCTTTTGGCCGTTCGAGAAGAGGCCCAGTTTGCTGCAAGATGTACTAGTCGGTTGGGATTGGTCCCGCATGCGGTTCTGCAATCCCCCTTGTCTCCAGGAAGGGGGAGGGTCCCCCCCCAGCCCCGGTTTTCGGAGAGGGGGGGGGGAATTTTGTGCAGCCAAGCGACGGTAGATCTCGCTCCCTTGTAGATTCCATTCCCCCCGGAGGTTTTGGAACGGACATGTTGGTGCCCCGCATCAGGGAGACCGTACGAACGCGCTGAGAGAGAGACATGCTGGCTCACCGGACGGATGGCAGCATGGGGACGGGGGGACATTCATGGTCTTCAATGGTGGAAGATAGGTGCGAATTGAAAGCCCTGTGGACGAGGGATGGCAATCCAGCGGCTGTCCTGACCCCTTTCGGGGCCGCTTTTCCACACCCTTTGCTCAGGCCGCACCGACTTCTCCAGGATCGCGCCCGGGCGTCCGCACGTGGAAGTACCATCAGGAAGGCTTAGGATGATAAGATTTCGCTGCAGAGATCGGGAATGTTCCCTGATCGTTCCAGGGCGTCAGGGGGCGGCTCCAAACCTGCGATTCCTCAGAGATGCCCCGATCGATTGCGATCCGAGCTTGTCTGCATCCTGCCTTCGTCGTGTACCACTCTGATTTCCTCACGGAGGCTCCTTGCGCGTGGGAGGGCGGGCTTTTGCACAGGCCCGCCCGGTCGAGCGTGGTCGTAGAAAAAAGAGGCGGTCGTGTTCGCTTCCGCTCGCAGCCGGAGGCAGAAAGATGATTATCGTCACCAGCCTCGAGAGATAGGGATCTGTTTCAGGCTAGAGATGCTGGCAGGATCGCATGCTATTCCTCACCACCGTTCCCCCAGATCCCCCCCAAAAAAGTCGTTGCTCAGAGAAGCGCACAACTCGGGGGGGGATACACCCCTGGAAGCTACTCGTACGCCCCGGGTATCGAGGATGGACACCCCCCGATCGCAGATCCCCGAGTGGGGCCCCGATGGTGCTCGTCCAGTCGGGAACCTCACACAAAGTCGGGGGCTGGCGTTGCCGTGCCCTCCGCCAGGACGAGGCACCCGCCCGGTCTCTCGCCCTCGCCTGCCCGGGGAGGCCCCTGGCAGCGCGCGCGCAGGGCGCTCCGCGCGCGCCCCCCACCCCCGCAAGTCGCCTGCGCGCAAGAGTGACCCTTCGCCAGAGGGGCCTCCGGTGCAGGGCCCGCCGGGGCCCCCCGATGGCCGAAGCGAGGCGGCCGTGGCGCCCTGCGCACCTGCGTTTGGCCCTCCCGCGGCCCCCAGAAAGCCTCGCACCACAGGTCCCTACAGTATTCGGCCTGATCGAAGGAACGATAGATAAACAACGAAGCCCCTTTTACCATTCTAAGTAAGCCCAGGAAGTCCAAAGAAACACCACGGGGGATCGCCGCCAAAAAGGTAGCGAAACGCACGCAAACCAAAGGAATGACCGAGCCCCTTTTGAAAAGTACGCGTTCCTTATTCAAGCCGGACCTTGTAGGTCCCTCTTGCCCAGGGTCACCCTTGCGCGTCGCCGAGCAAGGACAAGCTCGAGGGGGACCTGAAGATCACGCTCAACCTCGACGCCAGGTCTGTAGGCCTCCTCTATGGGGACGGAGTAGATGATTCGGAGGATCGCGCCGCATCGCCGATTCATCAGCGATGCGGCTCGATGTGGGGCACACTTTTCTCCACGCCGACGTCGCCGACGCATCGCAGACGTCGCAACTGCATGGCCGATGCATCGCCGATGCGTCGGCGATGCATTGCCGATGTGTTGGCGATGTATTGGCGATGCGGCAAGATCCCCCGACGACATCTACTCGGACCCCATCTAGGAGGCCTGTAAGGTCCGTCAGGATTTGGGCCAAGGCGGCCCTCCGCCCGCGCGCGCGCGCCGCTATGTTCAATACCTTCTCCTTCCCCTAGTCCTCCTGCCCCTCTGGCCTTGCAAGAGGTTGGAACAGTGGCAGCGATGCCCTAGAACTTCAGTGCTGGTCGTGGTGTTAAGCGGTCCTGGTGGAATGTCAGGTTTTCTCGACCTAGCTGGAAACATATCCCTATCCCTATGTTTTGCATCACCTTACCTCGATGCTGATCTTAAGGATCCCCTCAGTTGCTGAGGGCACATCCCTAAGATTGTCATCGCCTTGAGCTTGCCGATCGTAGGGATATGGATCAGTTCGAGGATGGTTAGAATCCAGAGAGCTCAGAGAGACCGGCCGCGTGAGGAGGAGGAGGAGGAGGAGGAGGAGGAGGGGGAGGATTTGCATTGCATGGTATTACTTGGCATTGCTTGGAGCGGGCACAGTATACGAATACGAGACACTGGGGGCGGGAACCCGGGGAACCCCAGGAACCCGACAAAACCCAAGGAAATTGGGGGACCCGGGGACGCACGCTTGCTGCCATCCTGTGTAGCTGCTGGTGACGAATGAGGTATTGTTACGCCTGCTGAGGCACATCTGTTTTGATATGTTGCTTTGTGTGCTGCCAGTGGCAGCTAAAATGTTGGTAAGCTTGCTGCCATCCTGTCGTGCAGCTGCATGTGGCAACTGCAATGTGGGCACATTCGCTGCGGACCTGGGTCCACGGTCCAACCTCTATGGTTTTGGGAAAGTTGCGCTTGGCTGCTCGTGATTGCTGGCATGTGGATACTTTGGCTGCGGCCCTTCTGTCGTTGAAATGTGGCTGTGTTTGCTGTCAATGACAATTCAAAAAAGGCACGCCTGCTGACATTATGTGGTGTATGTGGGAATTGAAATGTGAGTAGGTTTGCTGCGGCCCTTCTGCCGTTTTACAAATGTCCCCCTCATGAATTCATGACTTAGAAGCCCTCATGGTTTCCCGGCTGCCACCCTTCTGTGTTCACAATTGTCCACTTCGTCGCTTCACGTCTCGCCCCCTTCATGGTCTCATGGCTGTCCCCCTCGTGGCGTCACGACTCAGCCCCCCTCATGGTTTTACGACTGTCGCCCCTTCTGGTTCCTCGACTGTCCCCCCTCGTGGTTTCACGACTACCTCGCTCACGATGACGATGACGATGACGACGGTGATGATGATGACGATGGATGACAACGACGATGCTGATGATGATGGTGATGATGATGATGATGATGATGATGATGATGATGGTGGTGTTGATAAAGGTGATGGTGGTGGTGATGATGATGGCGGTGATGATGATTATGAGCATATGCATCATTAGGATGATGAAGAAATGAGGAAGGGCGTATTGGGGTGTTCTTGGGGCACTGTTTGGAGCCGTCTTCGGCAATTTTGAAGCCCTCCAGCAGCGAATCCAAGACGACGCAAGTAATTCAGCGGAATCGCTAGTTTCGAGCTTCGACGTCTCGAAACAACTCTTCGAACATCTCATTGACTGAGGATCTATCGAGCGAAACGTGAGTTTATGAGGATCCGCAGATTTCGCTACCGATCTCAACATCTCCATGTTTCGACGATGTCTCGAGGGGGAGCCTCATTCTCAACACAAGGCGTCTTGAAACAACTCTTCCAACATCTCATGGTTGGGAGGATGTCTCAGGCGAGACGGCCCTTTCCTAATACTCGAGCGACTTCGCTACCCATCTGAGTACGAAGATGTCTCGAGTGAAAGCCTTATTTCCCCAAATAGGCTGGCCTAAGGGGTTCTTGCCTAACTAAAAACTGGTGCCTCCGATTCTTACGTTGCCCATTACTTGGAGGGTCCCTGGGTTCCTCGGGTTCCCCAGGTTCCTCGCCCTCGGTGCATCCGATTCGTACGTTGCCCATTGCTGGGAAATTCCCCGGGTTCATCGGACGCCCCGGGTTCCTCGCCCCTGCAGCGCCTCCGAATCTTACGTTGCTACTCGGAGGTTTCTCGGGTTCCCCGGGGTTCCTCGGGTCCCCCGCCCCCGCTCGGGGGTTCCTCGCGTTTCCCGGATTCCTCGGGTTTCCCTGGTTCCTCGATTTCCTTGGGTTCTTCGACTTCCCTGGGGTCCCGGGCTCCCCGGTTCCACCGGTCCCGGGTTCCCTGGTTCCCGGGTTCCCCGAATTCCCGTCGTCGTCGTCGTCGTCGTCGTCGTCGTCGTCGTCGTCGTTGGGTTCGTCGTTGGTTTCGTCGTCGTCGTCGTCGTCTGCCAGCGGCGAGCAGGGGAGGTTAGAACCTTCCCTTTTGCGCAGGTACGTGGGTTTCGAATCCCCCCCTCCGTCTGATTGCGTAGGGTGTGGGTGGGGAGTGGGACGGGGTCCCGGGGTCCCCTGGTTTTGGAGGGGGCCAGGATTTTGGTTGGGGGGGCGTCCCCTGGAAAGTTCCCAAAGCAAGCGGACTTGAAGCGCGTTCTTTCCCAGATTCCAGTCTTCTTTGTCTTCCTAGTTCAAGAGTCGACCGGCGGTCCCTCTGTCTCCCCCGTCAAAGGTCGAGCAGACGCCCGATAGAAGCTCAATGCCTTCCCTCTTCACGTGTCTGCCCACTGCGTCCGAATGATGAGCATAACCAGGTAAATGGTTTACGGGGTGGGAGTCCTCCTTTCGAGAATCCCCAGGCTTCCGACGTCGTGATTGTTTCAATCCGTGGGCCCCACAGTTCTCAATTCCCATGGTGGGACTGTTTACCACCACCAGCACAAGTAGAAGGGGGAGGGGGTCCTCCTCCTCCGCCTGCTCCTTCTCCTCCTTCCCGTCATCCTCCATCTTCTTCCCCCCTCTAATTATGGTGGTGGTGGCGGCGGTGGAAAACAGGCCCATCATCCCAGTGGATTGTTGACCATCCCGTTTGTTTTTGGCTCTTGTCCTTGGGCTTGGAAAATCCTTCCCTGGAGGAATAATTTTAAGAGAAACGCCGGGATCGAACCATTGACGCCGCAGGTCCATGTCTCAGACGCCTCTTGGACGCCAACCTGGCTAGCGTTCTAAGACGCGACTAGCTGCGATCGGCATGACCAAAATGGGTGCGAAAAGAAGGATGACGAAGACCGACGTCAGTCCCTGTCTTTCGTGAGCAGGAGTCGCTGTCGATGTCGACGTTGATGTTATCCATGTGACGCAGACGGTCGCTTGGCCGACAACGGCCTCAGTGGGTTTGGGACAATATTTGGTGTTGGGCATCTTGCACACGTTCTCCCTTCACGTCTCGGACGTGCCAGTATACAGCCGGGGCCCTGAAGAAGGAACCCTTTTCGTTGGGGAGGGGCTCCGCGTTCCGTAAGTGTTTCGCAGCTTGCCTCAGGCTTTCCTTATGTTTTCGACAGGAAAATCGAAAGTTAACTTATGGAAACAAGGGGCCTCGTTTCTTATTTAGGGTTCCTTAGGTCAACGCCCCGACTGTACGAGCGGACCCCGCGCATAGAGGTTTCTCCCCACACGCTCCCCCCGCGCGCGCGCCCAGGACGGCGATCGGCAGAGCGCCCTCGACGCCAAGGAAGCCATCGAGGAGGACCGCCAGGGCTCCCCAGCTCCCTCGGGCGCTCTCGTCGGGGCTCACGTCACGGCGGTCAGCGCCAACGGGTGTCAGCCAATCCCCTTTGGTTGACCTGGGTTTGAGAGCCACGTGGGACTGATTTCTCCTTTCTGCCCTCCGCTGACCCGGTTATGAAAGATGTTTCGTGGCCGGCGGCTGGCCTTGGTTCGCGATGTGGCACTGGCTGACCAGGGTTTGCGTTGGCCCGGTTCAGGAGATTCGCGTAGCGGTCTTTACCAGAGCCAATCCCCCCTTTATCAATAGTAACGATCCTACGTGCGGGGGGGGGGGTCTGGACCCCCCCCACATGGTGGTGCCCCAAGGCATGTTCTGCCACTGTCAGATACCCCGAAGACGCTCTGCCAGTGATCGCAGGCGTTGCGCCGGTGATTGGATCGCAGTCCCCTGTTGCGCTCGCGGATATAGCGTGGTGTTCGCGCGCATACTAATGGCGAAATCAGCGCACCCCCGACGTGCCCCACCTGGCCCAGGCGTATTTTTTGCCCGCCCCCCATTGTGGATAAAGTGAGGGGGCGGCTGAGTCGTTGGCTGTCTGCGAGGCTTCGTGGAAGTCCGCCGCAGGCGCCGATCTTTTACACATTACACAACGAGCCCGCCGAAGTCGCCGAAGTTTCGTCAAAGCAATGTGGGCGGGTCGATGCGGTGTCGCGGGTGGGTCGCTGGCTGCGTCGCGGGTTGGTTCGCGGGCTTGGTCGCGGGTGGGTCGCGGGCTGGGTCGCGGGTTAGGTGGCGGGTGGGTCGCGGTTGGGTGACGGGCGGGTCGCGGGCGATGCCGACGACATCAACAGCACACATCATTCGCGGTTTACTAAAGCTCGGCCCTCTCGCTCTGATTTTTCTCGGTGTCGCACCCCGCAGTTGCGGATATGAGTGAGGGGGCGGCTCGGTCGTCGGCAGTCTGCGAAGCTCTGAGGAAACCCGCTGCACGCGCCAATACCTTACACATTACACAACGAACCCGCCGCAGGCGCCGAATTCTCGTCAATGCAATGTGGGTGGGTCGCGGCGGTGTCACGGGTGGGTCGCTGGTTGGGTCGCGGGCTGGGTCGCGGGCTGGGTCGCGGGCTGGGTCGCGGGCTTGGTAGCGGGCTGGGTGGGCGATTTTTTTTCCGCGCGGGTCGCGGGTGGGTGGGTGGGTCGCGGGTGGGTCGCACGATGGGTCGCGGGTGGGTCGCTGGTGCATCGCGGTTGGGATAACATACCGCGCCACCATCAGTTCGCACCGCGGAACCCATTTCGGCCACGCACCCATGGACAGTGAATGACCGTTCAGCATCTTTTGTCCCCTCTGATGTTAACCAGCGCGGACCCCAACCGGTGCCTTTTTATCCACCTAATTACGTGGGGTAACAGGTGTGGCGCAACCGATATTGACATTTAGGTTGTGCAGTCTATCAGGTGCATATCGTTTGTGGCACCCGCCGTTGTCAACTTCACTGTTCGCGCAATCGCCCCACCCACCCACCCAAAATTTGTTTTGCAAAACGCATGAGGCGGCGATTTCGATGAGTACTTGGCGTTGGCTGGTGCACCTCTGCGCGGTTGCGCTAGCCCGCGCACGCTCGCGCGCGCAGCGGCCAGTTCGTTTGGCGCGATCGACGCGACCGCGGTAGCGCTGACCCCTGGGCACCTCTATCGGGCGCTTCAGTGCGAGTAGGGCGTGGTATCACGGCAACGCCGAAAAACGGTAGACCCGATGGTGATAGTAGCGACGTTGGCGACGATGATGGCAAGATGGCGCCGGCGACGGCGCGGCCAGTGACGGCGCCGAGGCTGATCAAGCCGACGACGATGATGGCGCCGTCAGGTAGGTGATGGTCTGTTGGAAGGAGTTCGACATGCGCGCGCGGCCGACGCGCGAGAGTGGCCCGCGCGACTTGTTTTTGACACGGGTCGCGCCCCCCAGCGCGCGCGCAAGGGCGTTCCAACGATGACGACATGCGGCGCGAAAGGCCCGCTGGGCATACTTTCAGGAACGTGGTGGAAACCCCAGGTTTGGCTGGATAATTATCAAGTGCGCGGGCGCATTTCTGATGTTGGACGGAGATGTGCTTTTATAATATATATATATACACAATTACATACATGCGTTTTCGCCGAACTTGATTTTGGAGTTCTGGCGAAACCGCAGGCTTTTGAAATAGTCTGGCACGCGCGCGACGACGACGACGCGCGCGTGCGCGAATCCTTCAACATCACGCGCGCGAGGGCGTTCGGCAAATTTCGACATGCGCGAACGAGAGGCTTATTTGGTAGCCGTATTGTAAACAGTTTGAAAACCGATCGTTTCTTTCAAGTACTCGCAAGCGCGAGCGCGGGCTTTTTGGAAAGCTCACGTTGCGAAGCCAAGGGCTATTCGCTTGCGGGCCGCAGGATTTTGACACATTTGCGAAATCAGCGGGTTTGGGGACATTACGGCACGCGCGCAACGGCGGGCGCGCGCGCGCACTTCGCCCCATGCGCTGCAAGGGTTCGCGCAAGCGCGTGATTTTTAATCGACGATTGTGCGCGTGTATCGTTCGCTGCAACAGACGGGGAGGGGGGGGGCGTTGCCGGTTCGGCTGGGGCGATGCGAATTTGCATTTTGGATTGGCGACGCGGCAGAATCACATGGGCACTGCAATGCGAAAAGGGATCCGCGGGGCGCGGCGGGGGGGAGGGGGCAATGATTGCTCGGAAAAGGGGAATGCAATTTCTGTTCGCCCGCCACATTGCTCGCGCAATTTCCCCGCCCTCCCGCCCGCAGCTTCGCCTGCAGAACCCACTCGGCGACGACTGCGATGAGTGCTTGGAGTTGGCCAGTGCATCTCCGCGGCCGCGCTGGCCCTCGCATGCTCGCGCGCGCGCAGCGGCCAGATAGTTTGCCGGTGCTGGCGCTGGCTGCCGGGCGCTTCCCAGCTGGCACTTCAGTGCGAGTCGGCGACTTCGGCGGGCGCGGCATCGCGGCAGCGTCGACGACGGTAGACGCGACGACGGTTGCGGCGATGCTGGCCACGATGGCGACAACGACGACGGCGCGGCCAGTGGCGGCGCCGACGCTGCTCGTGCCGACGACGACGACGGCGCCCTCGCGTCTGCGATGAAGGTGTCGGAGGCGCCGCCCTGGCAGGGCGCGCCTCGCCCTGGCGCAGGCCCTGGGCGCTGCCGCGCGGCTCCAGGCGCTGCCCTGCCATGCCGTTGGCACTGCGTTTCCGCGCGGCCTTGTGCAGGTCGGCCGGCAGAGGCGGTTGCGAGCCCAGCTCCTGCAGGAGGACTGCTTCTGCCCAGCCCGCGGCGAGGTGACGGGCGCCTCCCGCGACCGTGCCCCGGCGCGCGCCTGCCGCGGCGACTGGGCCAAGCGCCGCGACGCCTTGCCCGACCAGGCCCTTTTCGACGCCCTGGCCTCGGGCCACGCCGGGGCTGCGTTGGGGCGCCCGTGGCCGCCGCTCCCGCGCCCCGCCAGGGGGGCCATCTCCGGCGCGAGCAGGGCGGGCCCCAGGTTGGCGACAACGGCCGCCGCCCTGCCGACGCCCACCTGCCGCGGTGGCGCACGGGCACAGCGGCCGCCTGGGACTTTGCCGCCGCGTCAGGGTCGCGCGCCGATCTCCTCGCCGCGCCGGCCGCGTCGTCGCGCGCGGCGACGGGGCGGCGCGAGGAGTTCGAACGGTTGCGCCAAGACACCGCGCGGCTGCGCGCAGCGCGCGGCTTCGCCTTCACCCCGCGACGGTGGAAGCCCGCGGCGGCGGGCGGGGCCGCGAGGCACGCAGGGCCTTCGGGGCCCTAGCCAAGCTGGTTGCTGACGCCGCGGGGGAGGCCGCGCCGGCGATTCTCCGGCGGCGCCCGGCGATTGTCCGTCTCCCTGCGCAGCGAGAGCGCGCCGGCGGTGTCGCGGCGCCTCCAGGCGCAGTCTGGAGGGGCGGGGGCGGCGGCGGCCCGCCTGGCCGCGGCCGCGGCTGCCTCCGCGGCGGACGCCGTGCATGGTGCCCCTGGCGCTGCGTGGCCCCGACCGCCCTCCGCCCTCGCGGCAGCGCGCCAGTGTAGTTTCACTCATCATGATATGTATCGCAGTGACGCAGCGCAGTGCATGATGCGCGGTCGATGTGGCGCGCGCGCTGACGTGGGCGCGCGGTCGCGACGACGCTGTTATTGATCAAGCTCCGAGGGGCCCTGGGCCAATCGAGACTACGGGCGAATCTCATCGATTTCATGTAATTTCATATTTTGCGCGTTCCGCCCCCTCCTTCGCGAGAGAGAACATCGGCGGTTCCAGACGAGCGCCGCCGACGTAGGTGGCGGGGCCAGCGGCCCCTGATCCGCGGCAGGGAAAAGTCGGAGACCTCGCTCGCGGAAGACCTCACTCCCAGCAGGGACGATGAGATCTGTCGGTTCCAGGCCGAGCGGCCTTCGACCCGCGGGCAAGGGCAGGGGCGAGCAGGAGAAAACGGAGAGGCCGGCAACGGCCAAGTGGATCAGCCTGGAAGTGGACTCTGCTCGACGAAGGCGGCGCGGACAGCGACGCGCGGGATGGGGGCCCGCGCGCTGGTCGCGGCAGAGGCGAGGGGCAGTCACATGCGGAAGCTGGATTAGTGAGGTGCTGCCTGGGCGCGGCGGACCTCAGGCGCGACGCGTATCGCAATTTCCGGGGAAGAGCGACGGCGTCTCAGCGGTTGTGCCAACGCCGAAGAGCATCAGTGGTGAGCGAGGGTTGGGGCGCTCGCGACAGTTCGAGAGGATGGGCGTTTCCGAGGCGCCAAAGAGATCGTCGGCAAGCTGGGCACGCTGGACACGTACGCGCAGGAGGTGGAGTTGCCGGAGAGATGCGACGTCCATGGGGGAGTTCTCGAGGCTGCCGATGGAGACTTTGCACGCGCGCGTGCTTCGGCGCGGCCGGGAGTTGTCGAAGCTGCGAGAGGCAGGACTGGACCTGCCGGATCTATTGGCGGGCTGGCACTCGAGCGAGATCGGCGAACCCCAAG